GCATGCTGCATGGTGTGTGCAGTGAAGGTAATAAAGACAACATCTTCAGTAAAATCACAGGAGGTCCACATACTGTGCTAAATGCACCACCTTTAAAACCTTTATGTCTCCGTGTAAAGTGGCACTTAGGGCATTATAAACTTGTGTTTATGTGACTCTTACTTGGCAATCAGTGGTCTTTGTAAAACCACAGGCTCAGTATTTTCTGGGTGCAGAGGCAGGTATGCTTCTACTTTCTGGAATGTGTCTGAGAAATAGATTTATCGTTTGGATGAAAGCAGTGCCTCGTTGAAAATCCTATGTTTTTTGGTGTTTATCTAAGTGTTTTATGGCACAATTTTACAAGCAGACTCTAAAAGTAAGACCTTTTGAATATTGTATACGTATTATTACACTTTCTAGTTCAATTAAAGATCTGACTTTAGAAGCAATAAATAACAATTATTATATGGCTTGCTTGTTTGCTGACTTAACAACTTTATTTTAACTGATGTCTTATAATATATTTCATACTTAGATGGTTTACACCTGACCATGCAGTTCAGAGCGACACTCTTTAAAAAGAAATGTAACCCCGGGTTGGTGGGCTCCGTTTAGAAGCTTACCAAGCCATAAAGCTTTTAAGCCAAGTTTACTGGTCTGAACCCTGTTTCTCATCATTCTCCCATTCCTAAGAAGATTCTTTTTTTTACGAGCATCTGTTGGTGAAATGCAAGGAAAACTTTTGCATGTAATGAAATATAAAATGGTTCTAAACCTAAAAATGGTTAGGGAAAAACTGTTGCTGCCATAAGACCTCCACATCTTAGCAGAAAACAACTCCTGAACCTTTGCATTTTCATTATGCAATCATATTTATTCCAGCTTTCCAATCCCATTCCCAACTGACACAAATTTGCATTTCAGTTCTGGCAATGAAACAGTAGTTGTTTTCATTGCTGACAAAAGTAACCCTTGGTAGTCCCCCGTCTGCAAAGCACTGCATTTAACTGGAGTCAAGGTTAGAAGCCATCTAAATAACCCAACACCCACATAGGCCTATTTTACTGCTTCCCAATTTTACATGATTGGGCGTGTTTGTGTAATCTTGTTTCTCCTTGGTACTTTCCGTTTATGACCCCCATCGCATTGAGCCGTGAGTCAGCCTCATTCCCTGAGAGACCTAACATGGAGTGTTTGCTGGGTTAAGATTTCCTTCAGCTATCTGTCGCCTTCACACCTTTTCTCCCAAGATGACTTATTGTGTCTTCAAACCGTTAACACAATGATCTTAGTGAAATAGTCGCCGCAAAGCTATTGTTGTAAGATGTCCAATCAGTTAAATTTGAAGCAGTCACCCCACACTCCAGGGGATGTAGAAACAACCCGTACCCATGGGGTTCAGACATTTTACATTTCTAGATGGGCTGAAACACATTCATGTTCTATGCTTCATTATCAGGCAAAGTAATCTATCATTACTTGGGCTCTTTGGACTCCACACTTGCTGTTTTCTTTCCAATTCCTTGGGCCAGACCATTGGAGGTAGTGTGGAAAGTGACACTTATATCAGCCTTATGTAGTTCACAGTCAGGGGAAGGTGATTTATGCCTGAATTCAGGCCCAAAAAATGATACATTTTACTTTAATACTGTTGCCAAGAAAGGATATTGCATTGAAAAATTAACTTCACTTGGCAGACTTGTGCAAATCCGCAGAGGAAAGATAAACATCTCTGTTACAACTGTTTTATCTATCAAGCTAGGATTAATTGAAATGTAACAGTGCATCCATTTTTGTTTCTTTTTTAACTGTAATTTAACACTGTTATTGTAATTTCAAGATTTGGTTGTACCAACTGGTACAGATAGAATTATTTTTTTAGTACCATAAGGTCTTGAAAACCGGTCCAAAACCAATGTATTGGCTGAATGTAGGTATCCAGTCCTTGTGGAGAGAGCTAAAGAAGTGGAACACAGGTGCCAAGTGGCCTAGCCATTATGTCAATCACCCCATGTACAGAGGCTATGATCCTTTGAGTGGGTTTGACTCCCACCTGCGGCTCCTTTCTTGCAATTCATTCCCCACTCTCACCCCTGTTTCCAACTCTATACACTGTCCTATCAATAAATTCATAAAAGTCCCAAAATAAACTTCAAAAAGAATAAAAGAGGTGGAACACCAAGCCATCGCAATGCAGTCCCAGAACCTATTGGCAGTAAAATATCAATGATTTAGCTGACTGAGATACCAGCTGCAAGTTCAGATGGCTCCAACTTGTGGCTCCTTTCCTGCATGTCATTCACCGCTATCCAGTGTCAAATAAAGGTAAAAAAAAAAGAAAAAAAGTTATCACTTAACACGAACACTATTCTGGCTTCTTAAGTTGCTAGTTGGACTGTGGACAATGGCAACATATAAATCCCTGAAAAGTTGGCCATTGCTCCCAGAGGCTATACTGTCGCCTGGCATTAGCCAATGATCTTCAAGTTTGCCAATTTGTTAACTTTAAGTATCCAATATTGCAACGTGAATGTGGTGTACAACAGATGTTTACGAGCCAAGCTCTATGTACCATCATTCATTGTGATATGACAAAAAAAGCAGCAATGAAATATGAAATAAAATTACCCCCCTTTTTTGCCATTTCATCAACATTTTTATTGATTGATCTTATGGTCAAATTTGGTGAAACCCAACAAATACAGTCGTCAAAGTTGAGCCCTAAAGGCTGGTAAACACCAAACTGTCAACAAAGAACAATCTGCAATAAAAACCTTCCAAAGCGTCATGTTCATTAGCTGCTCTTGGACCAAAAAGTCAGACACACCAAACTGATAGCAGCCTATGGCCAATACGTTTGTGCTAGATGTAGATTTGTACCTACCTTAATGGAAAAACCCTGAAAAATGTTCATCTTAAATCAATGATCGTGCCTGAAGATTGTTCTTAAACTTATTTCAATTCCCATTTCTTTTAAACTACAGTTGTCCGGCCTTTTTACGCAAGTTTTACACTTGTGGTTCAAGCTTGCTTTCAGAGAAATTCAAAGTTATTGTCGTCTTCTGGACTGTCAGATGGGAAAATTGGCCCGTGCATCAGGGTTAACAAGATAATGGAAGCAATCTGTCCCTAAAGGGTGATGGGAGCGTGTACTGAGACTTCTGATGTCACCAAGTGCATTTGCTGTTACTCCCAATAAAACATTTTCTGCACATGACTTTCCACAGACTAGTTCCAGAGTCTGTTCAGTGTTCAGGATAGGATCTGTTACTAAAGACAGCAACACGTGATGTTGTGCTGATTGACATTAATTTGTTTTGGCTGATCATTTGCTGAAACATGGCTGTTGTAGTCCATTGATGAGCAAAAGTAAAACTCTGAAAATTCTTCCCCCTTCTGCGGAATTATTGAATCATCTCAGTGACGTGTTCAAAATGAGAACAACCAGATACTCAAAATTAAATTAAATTTATTTATGAAACAAAAGCAAGGCTCTGGTGATACAAACAAGTCCTCCTTTGTAGAATAAGTGTACAGTTTGAGCGAGTGGACGGAAAGAATGTAAAACACCATATGAGTAATACAAAAGGATGTGTACAAGAAACCAACCTGAGCCTCAGTGAGGAAGCAACAGCTTTCAAATTAACATTTTACTGGAATATACAGATGTTCGGATTGGTTAATCCATAAGAAAAATCTTATCTGACCCAAAACCTCTTTCTTCATCTTGTCATTTGTTTGTAGATAAAGATGAAAGAGTTGTTTCCAGACAAGCTTCAGTGAATATCTGTTCATCTCTGCCTCTTCCATCCCGAGTTAACCACCTACATGTGTCTGTGCCTACAGTATATTCAATAAACCCATTTCTCCACATGAATGCTGCTCAATCATGGACAAAATATGCTTTTTGTGCATTTTTTCAGATCTACATAAGAAACCACTCCCCAGCATTTGAACAGAGGAATGCTGATCCAAACATTATTTAGGTTTATGTTGGTTATAGTGCATCATGAGGTTTCCTTCAAACCAACATGAACTGCAAATGCGGGAGACAATATGAGAACAAACGCAGAAGGGTCTGAACCTAAGAGTCAACCATTTTCATCACCAGTCCAGAGGGCCCATAGTTCCCTGAGTTGAGACATAGTTATTGATACCCATTAAAATACTAAATAGAGCTGCATCGTGTTAAATATTGGTGTCATTCTCAGGCGCTGCAAGTTCGGCTTCCTTTAACCTTAACTCATGAAACTTCTTGCTAACAAAACATTCTTCTTCTGTTAAATGTTAAAGTGAAAATCAACAGTGTTGTGACTTAAAGTCACTTTTGTCTTGTCCTTTATATGTGCTCACCTCACTTCTACTTGTTGGTTGAATCAAAGTGGTGCTTTCGCCCTAAATCTTCAATCCCTTCCACCATATCTGCTCGCCTCTCTTCTTAAGCTACTGACAAAAAACAGAAGCGAAAAGCAGAATAACACCCTCTGCTGGCTTAAAGAGACTATTGCAGTATATGTTTTTTGTCTCATCGATTTAAATTGTTCGGATTTGTATTGACTTTAATTAAATTGCAATGTAGTGTAACATCCCTACAAACAGCTGGTGTTTGTCTCGAAAGTATAATACGACCCTTAATGTAGGCTGACATAGAAGTTTGGTTCTGTACTAAAACATGGAATGGAATATGGGATGGCAAACTTTGTATTTAACAGCCAAAAAGCTGAGTCTGGTACGTCCCAATTTTCTTTTTCACCAGGTTATGTATTAATCGAGGATTCAGCTTCTTAATGTCAGTGTGAACCTTTTTGTTAGCCCTGTGATAAAATGGTGAAAGGTGAAATTATAGTATACCAGGTCTTGGGAATTAGTTTTTGTCAGCATATTATGTTCAAATGCTAAATCAAATAAAACATCTTACTGTATGGCAATTTGATATACTGCTGAGTCTCTACCTTTGACGTTGTCCTCTGTATTCTTTGTGAGTCAAATGTCTCTCCGTTACCTTTCTTTGTGCCCAGATTGAGAACTACATCAAGGAAAGCATGAAGACTGAGATGGCTCAACTGCAGCAGAGTGCAGTCCACAACCACACAGCCGCCATGTTAGAAATGGGCACCAACCTTCTGTCTCAGACCGCTGCACAGACTCGAAAGCTAACTGACGTTGAGACACAGGTAACACTTCATTAAACTTAAAAAAAAGTAGATATGTCTCATTCTGTCTCTTTGTCTTTCTCAAGCACACAAGCTCACTCTGAAAGGACCCATCCAATGGGCTATTAATCAAACTATTCCTCCTCCGACTTCCCCTAAAAGGTTGCAGAGACCTTGCCAAGGACAACATGGATGCTATGTAAATGCTTGTCCCCTATTTGAGTTTTTTTGGCTCCGCTCCCTTTTAGCAAAGTTTGAGGAGGAGGAGGTGATGGAAAGTGGTGAAGTAAGCGATGGGACTTAAAAAAAAGATAACTGTTTGCAAAGTTAGAAAAAGATAATCATAGCAGAGATTAATATCGGCTAAGTATTAACATGTGTTGGGTGATCACTTGACAAAATGAAAACAAAGTTGATGGTTTATATATTCTTCCAATGTACAGTGTGTTACTTCCTCCAGGAGTCTAGAAAAGCCTAAATGCAGCTCCGTGTGTTTGGTTTTCCTTTTCAGGGTTTGGTGCACATGTGCATGATATTAGCTCCTATATCTTATTCAAATATAGAAACAAAACATCCTCTTAACTCATTTTGTCCTTTGTGTATTTTCTTTAACATGGCAGGTTCTGAATCAGACATCCAGGCTGGAGATCCAGCTGCTGGAAAACTCTCTTTCCACTAACAAGCTGGAGAAGGACTTAATGGTCCAGACCAATGAGATCAGCAAGCTGCATGACAAGAACAGGTAAACAGACAATACTTTGAGCAAACAAACACCGTACAGTAAACATACTGGAGAAAATTGGAGATTTAAGATAGTAAAGATGATGTACTGCTAAACAGTTCTCACTCTTAAGTACGGCTGAGCTCTGGGGGGGATTGTGTAAATACAACAAAAGCTTGCTACCAGCTCTTGTTGACTACCATGTATTTTGTCCATCTTCCAAGACAAGAATTTGTTGTATATACAACAGCATAATAGGAAGCTTTCTGTGATGTTAAGTAAAACAGTCTAAAGTGCACAAGGCTTTTCTTCCATGTTGGATCACTATGCATTGGTTACAAAATCAGGAAATTAAAATGTGGCTTTTGGTTACGATGTCATGTCTCCAAAACGTTTCTTTGACTGTGATTGTTCCAGTGAGATCTCATTAGATGATGTATTGTCCTAAAGGGTTCGGTCCAATTCGCTCATTGCAGGATCTATGGGGACTCCATACAATCACTTTTGAAAATTGAACCTATTTAAAAGCGTAATCTCTGGTGATTCTGACTTCTTCGATGATTTTGAGAGTCACGGAAAATTCGTTCTGAGGGCAATTTTCCTAATCTTCAGCAATTGTTTTACGAAATTCTATCTTTGTACATGTCATTATGTTCTGTTTACTTAAGCTTTAATGGGGAGAATCACATGATTAGTTAATGAATTTGATCTCATCGTATATCATCTTCAGGCTCGGCCGAACAGTGGTGATGTTTATTTAAAAGCTCCTGTGAGGAACTTTTGGTTTTTGTCAATTTTGGCGCCCCCTAGGGACAAAGCAGTACGCCTCATCGCTTATTTTTTGTCCTGTACAAATTTTAAAATAAATTGACTTTTTGGCAGCCAGCTGTAAATCATAACCCTTGGCAGCAGTTAAAGGCATTAAGATTCTATATACTGAAATAGTTTATCTTGCCAATTATGGCGTATTTGCTTTTGTAGCTCTCAAAGATGCATCACTATTAAATTCCACACATTAGCTCTATGGAAATGGTTCATTCATTTACCTCGTATGAGTCAAGAATTAAATTGATGAAGCTCATCTTCCATGTTTTTCTATATCACTCACTGGACAATAATCATATTGTCAAAGTACAACATCGCCACATTTGGTTATAATTTCCAACAAAGTTCATCACAAAGTACCAGTAGGTTAATGTCCAAAGTGTCCGGATTCTATTGAGCTAGATTTAATGAACTACTCCCCATTCATGCTGCCAATACAAAAGAGAAAGAAAAAAAAATGTATTGCATAACAAGGACGGCAACAACAACGTCTTCCCGAAAATTTCAAAACATTATTCAATCCATTTAAATCTGTGAAAACATGTCTTATTCCAATGGATTTGGATGCCCTCAAAGTTGATAAGACCTTATTTATAAACTCCTCCAATTTTCCATAATAAACTTTACTTGACCTCCATTCTTTCCCTCAGCCTTATGGAGCAGAAGATGTTAGAAATGGAGATGCGACACCGTGAAGAGCTGGAGACGCTAAAGCAGGAGAAGGGGAGTCTGCAGACTCTGGTGGGGAGCCAGAGCGGGGTCATCAGGGAGCTGGAGGCTCAGCTGAGCCGGGCCACGGGAAACAGCACGGCGCTGCAGAGGCAGCAGCAGGAGATGATGGATACCGTCCATAATCTGCTTAACCTCTGCTCGAAGGATGGAGGTAAGCTAACTGGAATCGATGCTTACATGCTGAGAGGTTTGGAGTTTTTTCAGCGATTCACACTGTAAATATAGTCTTACACAATAGACATCACACAAGGGTACATTCTGGCTGTTGTATTGCGCTGAGGATGGAGATGAAAAGTCACAGCCTATTAGAAGAGTAAGCGAATGTTTAACCAATAGAAAAGCCACAGAGAGGGGATACAGTTGGATTAATCAGTGAAATGCAAAGAATAGTTTAGATGATGGTAACAAAAAGGAAATCTGTGTTTGTAGAAAGAGGAACTCAAAGACAACATGGGACGTGAAAAAAAAGGACTTTCAAAGTACGTGACCTTTACTCACTGAAAGCGTAATCTGTGTTCCATCGCAGTGGATGGTTTAGCTGTAACTTGACATTGCCAGTGTAATGTTTAAGCCCTGCTAGCAATATGGCTCGAGGGATGGTTGATGTATTTGTCCATCCAAAAACTGTTGGATGGTTTGCTATGAAATTGTGTAAAAAGAGTTTAAGGCCCCAAGTGGATTACAGATGCTGACCTTGGTGATGCCCGGTCTGTTCCTTTTAGAGCCGAACTGAGGTCGACATTTGTTGTTTTAAGTGTGTCTCAATGTTTTTTGTTTTTTTTAGCTAGTTGAGATGCCAGGAAATGTCTAACAGATAGAAGTGCACAAGGTTGCATTTTTCAAATTTACCTAATACCCTGAAATTCTTAATTTGTCCAATATTTAGTGGAACCCCATTAACTTCAGTTCTTGGCTGCTTTAGCATTAGCATTAGCATGATAAATTCTGTTAAGGTAAAATAAAAAGAGATAAATATAAAGATAAATATTCTATGTTCTAAACAGGACAATGTTCCATACTTTGATGCATTTCACTATGTTTTTAAATGATAACATCTCTGGTATTCAAACATTCAATTCTATCACAAAGTAAGAAACTTAAAAAAACAACAGCAAATAAAAAAACAAAGCTGTCAGCATAGCGGTGCTCCACTCAAATTCACAGGTCTGTAGATAATGACTGGAAACACAGAGTAGATGAATAGTTGGATCACTGGCATTTGGCATGTTTCCATGAGACAGGTGCAAAGAAAAATTACAAGCAACCCCCTGCACACTGTCTAAATTATACAAATACATTGGCAATGTCTCAAACTCTTGCCAATGTCTTTGTGCAGTTTAAATAGTGTGCAGGTATTTGCTTACCATTTTAAGTATTTAACAACAAGAACTTACCAAATATTAGGTGCCTAGGTTGCTCTGTTATAGAAATAAGTAGCTATTTCATTGGATTTTAGTATCGCATCAAAATTAAATTCTGGAATAGTATCAACCCTATTCAGCCTTGTCACTAGAAGCATGTAAGCAAGCTATTGTTTGCATGAAGCTATATGTAATCCTGTGTAAGTGGTATAGTCTGAAAAAGCTGCAAGTATAGCTGTGAAAATCCTAGCCATGTTTTACATTGAAGCTTTCAAACAGAATCAAGAACATTCACGGTGTACTCACTTGGCACATACAGGCAAATAAAGGTTTGTGTTTATGTCTCAGTGGAGGTGCACAAACACCATAGACTGGTCCAAATTTTGTTCCCCCCCCACTGGTGATGACCCTTACCCAAGAAAAAAGCTTACTGACCCCTGCCAGACCACAATGTGCAAAAGAGGGTCTGCGGATTGGCTGTGCGAGGATTGAACTGTGAGGCAGCACTCAACTCGGATTACTGACTTCCTGTGGTCTATTGTTACAGATACAAGATCTTTTATTTTACAAGCCTCGTGAAATTATGATGACACCAGTTCTATAAACGTTACCCCATACTGAGAGACGCAGGGATGGACTGGCTATTAAATTCTGCATCATTGAGAGCAGCATGACAGAGGAAACATGGTTCTTATTGTAACCCGGCGTGCTCTTTTTAAAGAGGCTCGGTGCCTCTCGTAAAACACATGGTGCTCTTATTTGAGCAACATTGGTTTACATGTTTTAACTTTATAATGCCTGAACACACTGCTCAACTAAATATCCAACATACTGTTTATAAAGGGTAGTTGTTCCCTCTGAGACAAAATCAGGGATTTCTCTTTTGGCCCTACATTTGACCCGTGAGCAGCGTGAACTCATTTACCCCTTTCTGAGACATTAACACCAAACGCTCTCGTTCCTTACATTGGCCTCTAAACCCATTGGTCACAGGGGATTTGAAATGAATTTTCCTGTCAGGCACGCGATTGGTTGCAACTTCACTTCCATTTGTGGATTTCCTGCAGAGATGTTTAGAGACCCCACAGGGTTTCCCTGAGGTCTCCCATCAGACAGGAAACAACAAGGATATGAAAGGATGTAGGAGTATGACTGGATAACCGCAGCAAATGATTAACACCGGGTCAGTATTAATCATGCTGCTCTCTTTTGTGATTTTAATGTTCCATGCAGTGAAGGTCACGGACGGCCTCTGTTTGCACTCTCTCTGTTTAGTCTAGATTTGTGTATTTTGCATTTAATTACCGGAGCCATTTTGGCCTGACTGGTCATTGTGTATCATCTTTCGATTTTTGTTTTGTGTGTTTTGGTGTAACATGTTTGCCCCTCTATTTTAATGGCTCTGTAAACCACCAAATGTGATTCTATTTAGCTGTATATCATACTTTTAAAGTTTTTATTGTGCCACTGTTTCTGCTGTTTCTAGTGTCAGTAGAGTCAGTGGAGCAGGGTACAGCCCGCCCCCCCTGTCTGTGATTGGTGACTACCTTAATGAGAGCTGATAGAAATGAAACATGGCCGCTGCTGCTCTGTGGTTGGTCCTTTCCTCATCCATGGTGGTACTGAAGGTTGAGGCTGGCCTGCAGGTCAGAGGTCTGCCCTTTCCTCACCCCAGTCCCAATAAGTCAAACTGTAATAGCTCCTGGGGGAGTCCCCGTCCAACGGAGGTGAAGGAGTATGTAGATCTTACTGATCATCTGACACGCTGCCCGCTTGTTTTCAACAGAGGTTAAAACAATAAAATAGATAAAAACAAAAAACAGAAGCAGCAGAGCCTATTTTTTCTCACATGTTCAGGGGAGGGCTTTTGTTTGTTTGAGAAACAGACAATTTGATTAATTCTGAGAAAGGCTTCGTATTTCGTGCTACTGAGTGGCGTCTGCTTGCATAAGTCGTTGTTTTGAAAGCTGAGCATTTCCTTTAAAGCATGGACTCGGATCAACTTTGGCATTCCTTTGAGGAAAATCCCACATACGTACAAACACACACATAGTAAATCTCCGTTAGCCTACATTTCCATGTATGGCCTTTCCTGGAATTGGGGTTTCCTGTGTGTTTTTTTTTTCCCGCCATTGCAGTGCACGGGTTGTGGGTTTGGGGACATATTTGAATGTGGCCAGATGCAGCAGTGGAGCTCTTGTTTAGGTTGTAATCATTACCCAAACCTCATTAGGGTGAAATGAGCCTCACACTGGTATTAACAGTACTTGACCTCAGTTTAGGGAACACTGTAATGTTTCTGCATGGCTGCAAAATTCGACTTTGTTTTACAGTGTTCTATTATCCCTCTGAAGAAATGACATTCATCATTCTTACGGCTGCTTACTCAAATGCTAAGAGAACAGTTGTTATAATATGGGTACATGAAAAATCACTTCATTAGACTTTGTTTCACATTCCAGACCTAGTTCTTGTACGCTGCACATGGTTCTCCTCTTTTCGCTTCACTGACGAGGAGAATGAGTTGACACCTATTCTTGCAGCAACCCTGCAAAGTTTGCAGTTATTGCCAGCCACCCCTTTATTTTCACATAGAGTATATAATTATACTATAAAACGTTTGCACACAATGCTTAAAGTGATATGTGTGATATGTCCAAACAGGCAGAGTTGGTAACTTGATTAATTGCATTCACTTTGAATTATAGGCCTAAATCAATCCATGATGTCGATAAAGCTGTAGTACTGTGTTTTTCTTTATCCACTATCGTAGAGGAAGGTTGAGGGTTCGATCCCCAGCTTCTGCAGCATCATGTCCGATGTGTCCTTGGGCGAGACACTTAACCCCAAGTTGCTCCTGCTGCTTCGTCAGCAGCGTGTGAATGTGTATGAATGGAATTAGTTACTGCTGATTGTCACTTTACATAATAGCCTCTGCCATCAGTGTGTGAATGTGTAGGTGTGACATGCGGTGTAAAAGCGCTTTGAGTAGTCAGACGACTAGAAAAGCACTTTAAAAGCTCAAGTCCATTTTGCTAACTGTTGGAAGAGTCATTGCATGTTTACCAGAATACAGTATATTTAATCAAATATAGTGTTGAATTTTCAATTTGTACCTGATTTATGTTCCTTAAAGCTTTATGTGCGATTTTTAGATCCAGCAGATGTCGCCCTTGAGCACCAGCATGAAACCAAAACAACTCGCGCTGCATTGTTGTGTTAGCATGCTAATGCTAGCGATCTTTATTATGCTGGTATCTTCACACTGCATGTAAATTTACCTGTAATGAGCGTGATCTAGAAACACAGTTAAGCAGTGAGTACAGTATGTTATTCTTATTTTCTCTAGTCCCTCAATTAAACAACTTTTATACACGAGGGGAGGAGTCAGCCGACCGTCCCGGCGATGTAAACAAAGTGAAGATAGGACTCTGAAAACTCTGAAAACATCACAGACAGTGGGACTCGGGTGTTACACCCATTGTAGACAGTCATGAATCACAGAGTTATTTTCAGAGGATATACTTAATTTTTATTATATTTAAGTGTGAAAAATCACGTAAAGTCTTTAAAGCTCATGTGACCAGTTTTGGACTTGTTTTTAAATAGTCTCGAATTAATACTGAAGCCTCTACATGACATACAAAGGCAAACAAGACTATCAGCAACAACAGTGATAATTTCTCGATAGTTATTTTTAATCCACTTAACTGCTGCCACCAGGTGGACTCACAGCACACTGCAAAAACAGGCTATCTTAAAAAAAAATCAAAGCAAAATAATCGCAGAGAGTGATATGATATGACTGTTTAAAGACAGTTAGAGGAGATTTCCCATCAGAAAACAACACATATGCATGTAATGGACAAGAACAAGCAAAGACGAGGCTCAGCTTTGTGCATAGGGGGCGCCAAAATCAACACTAGCCAAAAGTTCCTCAGGACCAGTCACTGCATGAGAAACAATTAAATTCCATTCACATCCAAGGTTATACATATTTCCTCTGTTGATATATATATATATAAAAAATAGATCTCGGTAATACCCTGTATGTGATCCCTTCCAAAAGAAATGTTTAAAATGTCTGTTCTGTACATAAAAAAGACTTTCAACTTCATGAGGCTGGGGACACATAACTCCAAAATGTTCACACAACGCTAATCCTCTTCACATGTTTAAGATAGGACTACACATCATTGTGGTAAAATATACTGTGGGAATTATCGTATAGTACTTTGCGTCCTTCATAAATGAATTCGCCCGGAGAAATCCATTGGCTCTTGTGTGGAATCACTTAAACTCTCAGCGGCATTTACAGAGTGATTATAGTCACAGGGGAGCAGTGATGTCTATGGCAGTCCATTTAGCTCCATTACTCACTCTTTTTTAGTTCTAGTATTTGGGCTCATTTGGCAAGGGTACTGATTTATGCAAACACCCAGGCCCTGCTGATCTTTTCACATGAACCCCCTACTGAATATTAGTCCCCACTGAACCACAAAATATTTTTCTGTAAATAAATATTGGGACATAAATAATATTTGCGGAGCTGGGCAGCAAGCTGTTTCGAGGAAGCCGCTCCTACCCTGGTGCGTCGAGTCTCTCCGCGGATCGTCTTCATTCACCACTGGAGATCTCGAAAAGGCGATTGTGAAATATTCCTCCACACTTTTACAGATTGAATACCAGAAAGTTCCCCTCTGACAATGATCTCCTTGGCCTCTTAAATGTGCCCCACTGTCTGCCGGCTTGGGGTAAATTACCGCCTGACAGGACGGCTCTTTGTTGCATTAGAGTCTGGGGTGCGAGGGCCCGCTCTGTCAACCTGTCACAGCGGGGGATTCTTGTCGCTGACACTCAATACTTTTTTCAACATGCTCAGATAATACACCCAAATAAGCAGCCTGCTCTTCCACCGAGATGTCTTGCACTCATGGATGGGGGGGGGGGATCAAAGTGAAAGGGTTAAGGATCGCTGACACATTTCACTTCTACCCGACATCTTCTTTGACTCAACAATTCCAACAATAAAAACAATAGTGTGAAAACTGAGACTGAACCTCACAGGAGAGGGAGGAGAGAGAGAAAAAAAAGGAAAATGGGAAGGAATTTCCATCAATATAACGAGAGGGTTCGGAAGGTAAATAAAACCACTTGTTATAACAGGAACTTGAAATTTATAGCTTGTAGTATTTTGTCCTCAGCCCCTTGCTCGGTTTCAAAATAGTGCCGCCATAATTATCTACAGATGGAAATGGATGCAGCTGGTCTGTCAAAGTCTGAAGCAGTCCGTCAGAGCCAGAGATCATCCAGTCCCTGAACTGCTTTCCTCCTGACAATAAGTTAGTCGCCTTCAGATTGAATCTGGCCGTTACAAGACACTCACAGGGAGACTTAACTGACAATCTTCTGCATCAGAATCTTTTCAATTTTCCCATCTGAGAGCTCAGAAATATAATTCATTGACCTTTGAAGGATTTTTTTGCAAGTTGTGAGTTCATAAAACTTTATAGAATGATAATTTCTATATTTGTCTGACACTAGAGGTTGCATGAGTGCTTACAGTTTTTAATAGCATGAAGGTTTCTCTTTACAGTGCTTTACTTGTAACTAAATCTGGTGTATCAAGTGTTTATTTGATTCCTTCTTTTATCACAGAACATTGATGCACGAACATCTGAGTTTTGGCATCCTCTCAAAGTACAAATTTGCTCATCTCAGGTTGCTTGCAGTGGGTTATTTTGTTGGGAAAAACAAAGTTGTTTGCATTTTGAACAAATGACAACATGGTGGCCACTTGTTTATATTGGAAAAGTTGGCAATTAAATCAATTTCAAGTCAGACAGTGTGCACAAGTTTTTCCTTGGACATTTTAATGGAAAGAGTCAAGTATTTATTTATTAAGGAAATTGCTACCATCAGCCTGTGAAGTTACTCATTAAAAATCCTGTATTTGATCATGCCTATAAACCCCTCTATTTTAGCCCTGCTCACAACAGGCTGTTTATGTGTCTCCAGCTTTAAATGTAAATGAGCTGTGTCTGACCACGCCCCCTCTCTGGAAGGGCTTGGGTGGCTCGGGCTTTCTTGCAGCATGTCCTATTGTTCACAGTGAGAAGGCAGACTCAGAGGGCAGAACAAACACCTAGCTGTGGGAGTGACACCAACCTGGGGGGGGGGTTACTACCCTTTGTGATGTCACAAAGGGGAAATCTCCAAACAGCCTGTTTGAGCACACATTTTCTGAAAAGTGGAGTAGGCAAAAACCGAGAAGATGGACTTTTCTCATAATTGAGAGGGTTTGTAGACAGACTAGAGACCCATATTACTGTTAGAGAAACATGGTGAAGTGGATTTAACATAATATGTGACCTCTAACCCTTGGAGACAGCCAGGCTGGCTGTTTTTTTTAACTACTTCCAGTCTTTATGCTAAGCTATGCTGATTGCTTCCTGGTCCTTAAAACAACTTAAAATGTCAAAGAAGAACTATCATACAGGTCTCTCAAGCTTGATTGCTCTTCCTAGATTTTTATTTTGTTTTGTAAAAATGCTAATACTTACTCTGTTCCCACAGTTGTGCCCAACAGTACAAAGGTCGCAGATGAAGAGAAGAAATTACGTGACTGTGCGGACCTCTACCAGGCTGGCATCCATAAGAACGGAGTCTACACCATCCAGATTAACCCACAGGAGACCAAAAAGGTAAGAAGACACAACATCTCAAAGTGAAAGTGAAAATATCCGCTTTCATCACTTCCACGATGCTCTTTTGTTGCGGTTTTATAGGGTCTTATTTAACTTTTGGGAAATGTTCCTTTAATAGCTAAAAAGACTTTGATCCACCGATGAAACTCAGCCACTGATGAGTGTGAACGATGGGTGCTAGCTGCTGCACGAATATTGAAAGCTGGAAATACACTTGGCAGCTTTACAAGTGCTTTAGTGTAGCACGGGGGATTAGGTGTGAAACAGGACGCTGAGCCGATCAGGATGGTGACAAAGTGTGTTTGAGTGTGTGGATGTGTGGATGCTTAACCTTTATACTTTGTTTTGGAATATTGAATGATCGGAGTGATGGTGTAAAAACTTTAGAGATTGGTCGATGTGTGATTTGTTGCCTGTTTCTAGAGCCTAAGGGCGCGGTCACACTGGTCATCTGTACCGAGCTGTACTCAAGCACGATTCTGAGAGCTGGCATTGCCAGGAAACATGTCAACACTCTTACATCTGAGTAAGAACAGAAACTTCATACAGATGTTCACAAAGGTCAGGTTTGACAACAATCCCATTTTAGCTTTTGTTATGTTGGTTTTAAACCAGTTGGAAAAGTTTAGCTTTTAAAGCAAAAACTTGTGTGTTTGTGTGTTCTCTGTCCGTGTAAAGCATGAATGATGAGCTGGTGGGAACTGGGGGAAAATGATTCTGTCAGGGGCACTTCCTTAATTATACCCAGGTTTGTGCTCATGTGTGTTCAGCTGTGTGGGCCGGCTGAGGTGAGAGACCTTCTCCCGTCCACCCCCGGGGTCTTCTCCTCAAAACAAAGAGACATGCACACTGCCGATAGAGCACCCAGCCCCATATTATCAGCTTACACACTAAGGTCCAAGGTTAAGGGCCACATTACACCAAGGACCCCCACTTTGATCGAGGCTGTGTGATGAGGAACATCTCCAGGGAGCTGCTGAGGGATAAGCAGACACAGGAGGACACAGGCATGTTGCATTCCAGTGAATGATTCAACATCGAAGCTGGAAAAAGGAGTGTAAGGGTCCTAATGACCCTTTGTTGTTTGTTCAAGCCGCAGAGAGAATGTTGGAATCCATTGTTTGCTAGTTTGAAAAAGAACATCTTTCTAAAATGCAAAAACGTCCTGTGGGTGCTATTTGTATTCGGTAACCTAATTCTATTTGCTGCTCTTGTTTCGATCATGAAGGTGTATTGCAACATGGAAACAGCCGGGGGAGGATGGACAGTCATCCAGCGCAGAGAAGACGGCAGCGTGGACTTCCAGAAAACGTGGAAGGAGTATAAAATGGTGAGACATGCAGACACACTCTGTGTCCACTGAAAGAAATATGATGGTGGTGAACATACAGACAGAAAGGGAGAGAACACACTTATCCATATCCATTAGGCATTAAATAGAAAATAGTACGTTGAGTGAAATACACTTCCACCAGGGTCTTGACACTTTTTGGCCTTGATGAACATCCTGAAAACTTAGACGCAGGATTCACTGATCCCAAACCCATTTGGAACACTTCAGCCAAATATTTTTCCTCCAAAGCAAAGCTCCCCTGTCGTTTTTTTAATTATTTTTTTTAATGTATTAGCAACATCGTCAAGGGTGTCTGAGAACTTCTCCGCTCTCCAGCTGAGGCTTTGTGACATACATTCTTCCTCCTTTCCAACAGGAAATGATTACCACAATGAAATCCAACACATTTGTTTAGTCTCTTTTGCACTGTGCCAGGTGTTGCATCTGTTTGTCATCAAGAAGTAGATTGTTGCATGTTTGCACTGGGAGTGTTAACAATTTAAGCTCGAGGACGTGTTTTGACTGTAAATTAGATTTATTATTGTGGGCAGCTGAATCGCTTGTGTTTGATTTTGAAAGTTACCTGTGTATACCTTTCACTGGGTGTTAGTTTATTGTCAAACGGACGATGTTCACTCGAACCTCCATTATCTGCTCTCTTAGTCCAATTCAATTATCTCATCTCGCTCCGTTTTCCTTGATGTGGAGTATGCAAGTCAAGGGGAAAGGGTTTCAAAGGCACGTTCAAAGCCAGAATAAATAGAAGAACATAACTGAAAACAGAAGAAACAGAGAGCTGTGTAAAAACAAGAACAAAGAGGACAAAGTAAGGGAGAATAGAGATCATACAGTGCATAAAAAAGTATAGCACAGAGACGTTTGTGGACGTTCTCCAGCTTTGAACAGGTGTTATAGAGAGCATGGAGTGCATTACAGGACATTAGTGCACACTTGGAGACCTTGGTTGACATTAACACTGCTGATGCAACAGCTTAGTGTGACTGTTCCTCTCCTTACAAAAGACTCAAGGTGAACAATGTTGTTTTACTCTCTAGTGAATTTTCTCCTTCTTGGTCTTTTGAGGTTTGTGCTCACAGATTTAATGTTCTTTAAGGGTTTATAAATCTTTCAGTCAAAACTGAGAAGCTGTGAGAGATTTATGAGACGTAGTGTAAAATGGGATTCAAAGATCATATTTAACATGTAAGAACACGTGATGTTTTTAATAACCCCTACAAGGAGACCACACATCACAACAGACCTTTCAAATTATACTTCCCAGAGACTCTTGTCGCCTATCGGCATGGAAAATGATTTGTAGGGTTTGGTTCAGAACTATTTTCCACAAGTCTCCCGAGGTTTGGTTACAGCCAGGTTGGGGTTACTGAGGTTATAGGATCCAGGTAGCCTTGCTTTAACCTTAGTCATTTGTAGACAAGAGAAGTAGTTTAGTATTTCATTTAAATTTGTTAGCTAAAGTTATTAATAAATAGTTAAAGTATTAAGCTTAAAATCGGTCTTCCAGTTAAAAGATTTTCTGAAGCTACATGAAATTAATAAATAGCTTAAAAATGTGCCAAATCCATGAGTAAACACAAGTAATGGTATGTTTAGAAATGGATATAAATAGTTTAAATTAACACTCAAGTGTTTGATTGAACTAATAAATAAACAGTTTAAATAATTGCTAAATGAATAACATTTTTAAAAACTAGCTACAATTGGTAAACAGTTGAACTTGTTAGCTAAAAGCTAATAATTGAAACAGCCACATAAGAGCAATGATAGCTCATACAGCTAACTTAAACCAATGGAGCTTTACTGTTAAAATTGCTCAGAGCTGTGAATACGATATTAAATCGCAAATTACATGAATTACATTTGAAATGTAAGACAATGAAAAAGGATGAAAAAGTTAGCTAAAAGCAATGGAAAACAATCACTATAGTTAGCTTAAACTTTTGACTAAAACTTGAAATAGTTGGCTAAAAATGATATTAAAAGTTGAAAATAGTAAGCATAGAAGCAATTAATGATTGAAATAGCTAGCTTAAAGCAATAAAAACCAGTTGAAATTACTAGCTAAAAGAAAACCAGTGGAAATAGTTTATAAAGTTAGCTAAAAATGTAAAAAACAATTGAAATAGTTAGCGTAAAACAAGAAATAATCGTTTGAATCGCTAAAAAGTAGTCAGATATGTGACAGTTCTTTTTCATCAGGGACAAAACTGCAGTGTCGTCTGAAAATAATCTGTGAACTGACAGCCCAGGGGGGCTCAAGGTTCTAGGTACCGATAAAGAACCGTCCACGCCGACTTGCTGTTTTACGATTCGTTACATTTTTTATTTTATGAAAGGCAATTGTAAACAGGTAAGTCTTCAACCTTGATTGAAACCAACTGAGAGTTTCAGCAGACCTGCAGTTTTCTTGGAGTTTGCTCCAGATGTACGGTGCATAAAAATGTATTCATGCGGTTTGGCTGTAGTTCCACTTCATTGCACATGTTCAGACACAATTTGTTGAAAACTACTGCTGTTGTATGTCTCTGCATGTGCAGCAGTTTCTGATTTACAATGCTCCAGGTTTACAATTACTTATTTATTTCTTTTGTTTTCAAACAAAAGTGATTTTAGCAAGTGTAACTGAAATGCAACCCAAGCGCTCAGTCCAAAAAATATGACTTAACCATCTCCTCATCTTTTCTGAGCTGATAGAGGTAGATCAGGTTTGCGTGTGAATGATTGCAAACCAACCGGAACTATACAACAAAAGAAACCTGTCAACAGATTTTTTACTCCAAGCTTTTTAATCCAGCCATAAGGGGCTTGAGATAAAAGGGCGGACACAGTAGGACACAGTATATGACCGAGCTGCAAGTCAGTCAGAAGGGAACATCTCATCAGGAGTCAGACTGTAAAGAAAGAGAGTGAAATAAAGAGCGAAAGGCGTAATGGGCCCCAGTCACCTTCTTTCCACCCACTCAGCAGGACATGTCTAAGGCCCGAGGAATGCCCCATATTTACTTTCCCTCCTTCCCATTTCTCATCACCACACACACTCAGAACAAACACAGACTCTCTCCCTGACTTTGCCTCCCCAGCCCCCGACCCTGTTTCCCAATCTCTAATGGACCGGTGCAGACTATCCTGTCAGTGCTGTAATGTCATCCTGCTTTGTAATATTCCCCTCCGCTTAGCCTCTGCTCTTGCTGCTGTCAGAAGCACTCTGCCTTTGACCGGGAGCCACTCTGATCAAATCCAAACTTTTGCCGTTGTTTGAAGGAGCGTCCGTGCATGCAGTGCGTGTTTTAGGAAAGACGTCTTTAAGTAGTTATGAGTTTAACATGTGTGACTGGAGTGGAAGTCAGAAATAGAAAAAGGTGTGTGACTCTTTCAGCTGGTACCAATTTAGAAACTTTTATTGGTAGGCATGTCTATCCAAGTGGATAATCAGGCCAAAAGCACTCTTAAAAAACATGCATAAAATACTGTTTGTTAAAGGCTTTATATGTGATGTTTTGATCCAGCAGATGTCGCCCTTGAGCACCAGCATGAAACAAAAACAACTCGCGGTGCATTGTTGTGTTAGCATGCTAATGCTAGCGATCTTTATTATGCTCGTATCTTCACACTGCATGTAAATTTACCTGAAATGAGCGTGATCCAGAAACACAGTTAAGCAGTGAGTACAGTATGTTATTCTTCTTTTCTCTAGTCCTCAATTAAACAACTTTTATACACGAGGGGAGGAGTCAGCCGGCCGTCCCGGCGATGTAAACAAACTGAAGATAGGACTCTGAAAACTCTGAAAGCATCACAGACAGTGGGACTCGGGTGTTACACCCATTGTAGACATCATGACTCACAGAGTTATTTTCAGAGGATAAATTTGATTTCTATTACATGTGTGAAAAATTGCATATTAAGCCTTTAAGATATTATTTTTTGACTTTTTTACAGAGATTTGGAGACAAGAAAAATATTGTGAAGTATCATGCTTTCACTTCTTGATAAATAAGCACACATTTCTTTTCATTGGGAAATATTTATTCTGATCTAATTTGTGATAGCCAAAAATGAATCAATAAATAAAATGGCTTCCCATCTATGTTACAAATCGTATTGAGATTTGATCATTGTGGGAAGAAGATAGCCATGAATAAGCACTAGTCTCTGATTAACAAAAATGATTGACAGGGCTATTTCCACACTGCTTATTGTTTTTCTCTCTTGTCATTGCAGGGTTTTGGGAGCGTTTCTGCAGAGCACTGGTTGGGAAACGAGTATGTTTACCAGTTGACCAGCAATAGGCAGTACGCCCTCCGCGTGGTGCTGACAGACTGGGACGGACACCAGGCCTTCTCACTCTACGACCGCTTCCAGATTGGCAGTGAGAAACAGAACTACAGGTAAAACTGCTCATACTGGTTTGGAAGAATGAGATAATTGTTTTTTTCAGGCCAAGGAAAGAGAGCTTTTCATATTGGCCGGGAAATATTTGGCAGGTCTGGACCTAATATATTTCAAATACATGTAAATCAGGGTTGAAGCAGTTAAAATGGATCAGTGTGTCAAAATTAATTGGGCTCAGGTGAGGTGAGGTGGGGTGGAGTGGCAGTAGCTCAGTCTTGGGTTGGGAACGGAGGGTTGCTGGTTCAAGTCCCAATGTGGACCAATTGTGATGGAACAGATATTCAAATATGGTTACAGTTCAGGTGATAGTGCAGCACTAAGTTTGTTTTTGAGCTTTGATTTCCATCAAATGGCTTTTTTTGGCCAAGCAGACGAGGCGAGACTAAAATGTTAGTGTTGGTCTGTCAGACATTCAAATTCTTGATATGTTCCCCCAGGCCCACTGTGTGTCTTATCCATCTGTCAAAATACAAGAAGGAGAGAGGAGGAGTGTTTGTGTGCTGCAAGGAGGCAGAGGGCAGACGAAGTGTGTGTGTGTGTGTGTGTGTGTGTGTGTGTGTGTGTGTGTGTGTGAAGTTGAGAAACATACCGTAACAATGAGCGTTAACGAGCTAACTTTAGCTATACTTTGGACTAAAACTCAACTAGCATGTTTTGAGTTGTCGGTGCCAACACTTAAAACACATTTATATCAGCTAAGCTTCCCTGACTGTGGCCGAGTAACTCAAACAAAATGACATTTAGCTCAACTTTAGCTTTACTCTGAGAGCTAATTAGCTTACAGTATGGTAGCATGCCAGTACATTTAGCTATCACATTAAAGACGATACCTACTAGCTAAGATAGCAGTTTACTAACGTGACCTGACAGGCAACATACCGTTAAGATTTCATTTCAGTACTTTAGCACTGCTTCACATTGCCTTTAGCGAGCTGTTGTGTTTTTACACAATGTCTACACAGCCTGGGTAGTGAAAGCAGCAGCATTAGCAGCTTTAGTCATCTGTGTGTGTATACACAGGATGTTTCCAAAAACAGTATCAAGTGTGGGTCACGTTTCGGCATGACACAATCACTGTGGTAACACGCATAAGACTGAAGAAAATGGAGATGAAGCATATAAAGAAATGCTTCAGGTCATCGTTAAATGTGGAAAGCTGTGTTGATTATAACAGAGGGATATTTGTTCCAACAGACCAGATGCAGGAAACATGGTTCTATTGCCTCTTATGCTGCATGTGCACAAGCGTTCAGTCATTTTCTTGTCTTGTCTACTGCATATCAGAAGACTGTCTAAGGGTCTCATTAGCATGAAATAATAAAAAACAAGATGTTTTAAAGTGTGAGTCATAAACATGGCCAGTCAACTGTGAACCTGCCAGATACATCAATCATGTCAATTTAGTTATGTAAGTCTGTGGTGAAGCTTTTCTTATTGCAAATTCCTTCCAAACTGAGTGTATCGCTTGTCATCATCTACTTTTTGCAAATTCTCCCTTGATTGACACTTTGTCCTTGTGTCTTGCGGGGGCGAAGGTTTCTATTTTCTTTTAAGGGGGAAGGGGGTTAATGATAACAGGCCACAAGCTATGGCAGATGCTTGGCCCTCTCAGATGTGGAAACTACTGCAAATTCCACAGACTTCCAAGCAATTGCTGGCTTCGGAGAAGAAGGTCTGACATCTCCAGTTCTGCAGTTTTCCCTGGATGACTGCTTCCTCCTGATAAGAGGTCCCCTCAGTTTGCGAAATGTCTTTTGCGCTTGGCTTTAAAATGACGAAGCAAGGAAGGAGATCCTGAAGTTTAAAAGCCTTTACCTCAACTTTTCTGCTCTCTGCACCAAGCTCCAGAAAATAATACAAGTGTCAAGTGTTTCCCTACAGCGGGGGGCCGTTAGGCTTGTTGCCATATCTAATTTTCAGAATTGTCTTGCGATGACAGGGGTTTCACTTTACTGGGGTTTTTTTTTGCTCAGGGAGCTTGTACTTTGAGTTAGGCTTTGTGGTTTCCCCTGAGGTCTTGAAAAATGGATTCAAACCAAGCGGAAGAGATCAAGTTGTCCTTTGCTGAGGATAGAGCGAAAATCGACCTCTGGTGACCTTTGGCTTTATTTCTGGCTCTGGTTTGAATGCACAGACACTGATTTCAGGCTTGACAACATGAAGTACAGACATTTAACTGCAGGCTCGTCGGTTTGGGCATCAAATCTTAATATGGGCTCAAACTGAAAAGTGAGTTAGGAAATTTTAGTTTCAAATCCAACCCCCATCCATCCACTTCTCTAACTCGATTTTACACTCACACATATCTGTAATTGATTTGGTATAATTGCCTTTCACACAAGTTTCATAACATCCCACTCCTGACCCTTTGGTTCTTCTGATTTAAAGAAACTAGAACTGTTTTTGTCCTGATGAGGCTGGTAAAAGGCCATCCCCGGCTCTTCCAATCTGTTTAAGATGCAAGTTCTTACTGTGTAAGGCTCCAGAAGACATGCTGAGCTCTATTAATAGATCTGTTCTTGAAAAAAGTAGTTGTGGTATGATAATCACACATTGCTTCTCTGATTCACCGAGCCAAAATAAACCAGATGGCTGAGCCCTGTTCTTTTTGCTCCGGCACTTCCCTGCTCTTAAATGTCAAAACAATCTGTAGTAAGTTCTGCAAATCGAAATGCTTCTCTGAAACATGAGAGACACTTGACATGGTTTGTCATTTTAGTTGTGATTTTTCATTATTTTCTGTCCTGGAATTCAGCCTGCTTCATTTTAAAAGACCTCAAATATTACACTTACTGCACTCTGTCTCACACACACTGTAAAACAAAAAAGGGCACAAACACAGTCACAAACAGGCACATCAACTTAGAAACCAGGTGGAATGATTGCACAATCAGAATCCAACAATGCACAGGACTCACCATTTATCAAAAACAATACTAGGCCATTATAAGCCAGAAAGTGTTTGTCTTGGTGCCAGCTTCTTGGTTTCATATACACGGAAATACAGGAAATTACTCAACATGCAGAGGGGAGGGAGGTGTGCAATTATTCCTTTGTGAAATATAGAGTCATAATCCTAAAGAAATGAAATCATGTAGAGAGAAGAAATGTCACATTTATTACCCGCGTTGGGATCCAACATGCCTCTTTTTTCAGTCATCCAACCCTTGTTTAATATTATGAATAATTTAATCAGTATATTAATCAAATTATTGAAATAAGTAGTCATGAAACTTAATGTGATGTTTTAATGGAAACCCTTTTTGGCTGTAAAACTGTAATATACAATTTGAATTTACGGCTCGGTGTTATGACCCGGCTCGGGGAGGTTAAAATCACTCTTTTCTTTTTTTTAAGATTTATTTTTGAGCATTTTGTGCCTTTATTGGAGAGAAAGAACAGTGGATCTAGTGGGAAATCAGGGAGAGAGAGAGAGTAGGGAATGACATGTAGAAACGAAGCCACAGGTCGGATTCGATTCTGGGCCGCCCGCTTTGAGGACTACTGCCTCCATACATGGGGCACGTGCTCTCACCACTGTGCCACCAGCGCCCCGTTAAAATCACTCTTAACACACATCACACCATAGGAGACTCTGGCAAGATCCTCTTTGGAACCGTCAGATAATCGGGCCCCTGATGACTTTGGTCGGAATTGGGGGATCGTGCCCCAAATCGGCCTGAATATCTTGCAATATCTCAAGATTTTCTGGCAGTTAGTAAAGGTGAAGGGTGACTGGCCTGGATAATACATACACCAAGACATACTTACACACACAGACAATCCAAGGCCAATCTAATGCCTTTTGTCACAATGGAAACCCGACCACTATATGTAAAAACATTACTATAAAAGGAGCTGGAAAAGAAAAAAATGATAATCTTAAGCAGCTAATTTTCTTACAAAAAAGGTTTTTTATGGTACTTGCTTCTGAAATTTGAACTTTTAGTGGTTTCCTCAGCGTTCATGATTCACTGGGCATACAAAATTACCAAATTTGTGTTTTTAAGTTCCTATTAAAGTGGTGAAATTGTGATGGCATTTTTTATTCTTTAAAAGAAAACCTGATTAACTGTGACACTAAGGTGCAGAGTATTGTGTAATTTAGATTCACAGACATTTGCTTTACTATAAACTTTACCAAAACATATGCACTTCTGGCCATGGACTTAGATTTCCAGAACAGTTGATGGATCATCATGCACAATATCAACAATGCAAATAGCCGTGCAGAACACTGAGGGAAACGCATTGGAGCAGGGAAGATAAGAAGGCCTTTAACAATATGACAAATGAGAACTCTTCACTGACTACGTCCACACAGTGTGAGCTGAAATGTTGTTTTAATGTTGAACAAACAAATCGTGTGGACAACACTTGAAGGAATACATTTTGATTGTCCATAGCTGCAAAATCCCACTGAACCACAACCTCAAAATATTGTGAAATGTGCTGTTAGTTTAATGTTCTTTTTTCTCCTTCATTGTGAGTGAGGTCACCATAATTGCAGAGGTTACTGTCTGTATAAACAGCACACACAAAAAAAAGTCCCTCATCATAGTTAGACCCCATCATAGCTAATGTGGCTGCTTGGATACAGCATGGGGTTGCAGAAAATCAAATAATAAAATCAAATATAATTTGGTGACCTGCTCAAATTGTTGTAATGATAGCCATCGGATCAAAACACTCAGTTAATCACCATCATTTATCAAAGTTTATTCACTTCAAGAATAGGTTAGTGCTTTAAATCACTGAGAACACACTGGCTAAAGAAAAAGTGAACCTAGCTTGCACAGAAAGCAACATAGACAAGAGACACCGAAAGATCTTTGAGTTTGATTCGAGAAAAAAAAAAGATGGAAGATGGGGAAAAAAAAATTGCACACAAACTCATTTATGTAACACGAACAGACAGAGCCGCAAACTGAAATAAATGACACACAGTGTCAGTTTAGGTAAACAGTGTCACGCAGATAAACACTGGTGATTGATG